AATAGTAGAGAGATGTAGTCGGTATCAAAGATCTTATAAACCCTTGACCTCTAGCCTAGTGATAAGGACTCATACCACTGGTCGAAGTCCTTGTTGGATTTGAGGGTAGGGTAGGCCGTGGCATCCGGCTTGGCACGAAAGGGCTTGCCTGAAGGCCTGTGTTGCCACTTTCCACCACCTCTGGACTTGAAGACCACCATTGCTTCAGGGTGGAATGAATGACTCTTCTTGGTCTCCGTTGATCAGTAGGTTGGCGACGGAGGGATGGCTGAGTGTACTGGTGTCTTGGATGATGTGGGCCTAATAGGTATGGGCTGATAGGCTGCTGAAGACACAGGTTGTGTAGTTGGTATCTAACAGAATGGGGTGTTGTGGGATGCCGTGATGGTATGGTATGATTGGTGTTGGTTGGGGTATACTCCCCATTGAGGGCCATACTGGTGATGGTAACCATCTCCAGCGGGGGAGTGGCAACATCCATGGCAACTTTGGGTTGGGATGGATGACCAAGAGGGTCCTCAACATCACCCACAAACTCTGTTCCAAACTGCCTGTCTGAATCGGTCCTCCCAGCCTTATCTCAGGGCTGGCTTGTGTGATAAACAGGTGTGCAGGGAATGGTGTCATGTGGATGGAAGGAACCAAGCTATTGGTATTGTTGTGGCCTTGTGGGGGGGCAAGGAAGCTTGGTTCATTTGTTCATTTTCTTCAATGCTATTGCAGTTGGTGGCGATCATTGAAAGGGAACACCTTGTTGGCTGTGGGGAAGAGTCACAATGGGAGGCCCTGGCTGGTTGGCTACAGGGGGATCCACAGGTGTCCTTCCATGCGATGGAACTGGATGTGGAGGTCTGCAGTGGTGGACTGTTGATGTTACCAGTCTATTGCTAGATGCTTGGTGTAACACCAATGGCAGCTGGGCCTGTTGTTGTTGCTTCTTCTTTTGCGAACCATAATGATGATGTTGGTGCGCTGCTGAGTGTGTTGGTGTAGAGTGTGGCTGTAGAAAATCCAAAAGAGCGTTGAAGCCTTGCACTGTGGTGATGACCAATTGAAGGCTGCTCGACAACACTGGTAACCTTGGATTCTTCGAAACGCTCAAACGTGCTCTCGTGGTGTTGCGAGTTACACCTGTATGACTCCTAACAAGGTATCTTTCGTACGGAGCCACGGAGTTCGCGAATCGATCGAAAATGTAGGCGACTCGGATCTTTGGCTCGGCCTGCTTTGGAACGGAGTACGGTACCGGTTCGTTTCGTCTTGTGAGTGCCGTGTGGTACCGGTTCCTTTCAGTAGGTACCGTGCAGGCACGACTGGGATTTCCGTAGAGGAAGGTCGCAATGATGCTTCCACTCTTTCAACTCGACGGCTGCCGTAACTAAGGCGATCAACAAGAAACTGGCTGCCTATCCTCTCAAGCACCCCAGGTTGGTAGGTGGACCACTTGGTTAGCTGTCGTCGCGTTAAGTTGGTGTCGATCGGGTCCTTCTTCGCGATTTTCTGTTGGTGAATCTTCCACTCTTTCCGTCACCGATTGTATTCAGCTATTAACCGAAACTGGCTGGTCTATCTTGTAGATCAGCCTTTATTTGGTAGTGACCGTCTTGGTTTGAGTCAATCGTCGCGATTCCGTTTTCGGTCGTCGATCTGTTGGCTGATGGATCGGCATCTTCCTCTCTTCCATCGTGCTCGACGTGTTTCCACACGTAGCCACTCTTGTGTGCTTGCGACTAGTTAATCCTATGAATTCGGTAGGAACTCAGGGTAGTGCACAAGAGCTGGGATGGAGAGCCTGTTTGGTGGAGATCTCCTTCCACTGGCGCTGGAAGGCCAGCCACAAGGCTGGCAGCCAATGCTATTAATCACTGTGGAAGCAATGATTGAACAGTCTAATTGCTCAATACCCTGGCACTGGCCATACAGGATCCTGTCTACTGCAGAGCTCTATTGTGCTGTTGGGTCTGTATTTGGTCAACTACTTCTTCATTACTTCTTTAAACTATAATATGAACACAAACTCTGATTTTGCGTGAAACTCCATCTCCAGCCATGCAGGATACAATCCATGCATCTCTTTTGGCTGGTATATACCAGGCTATCTTTCTAATAGGTCATGGCTGAGGAGCTGCATCATCCTTCCTTGCAGAGGAACTCTATGTCCTCTACAGCTGTTCCTATCTTGTCTGATGGTGACACAGCTCATTGTACTGAAAGAGTGTACAGATGCAGCAGCGATCTTTCCACCAGACTGAGCCAGCACAGCTGCGCCGCACCCATAATATGGCTCCTATGGCATAATCTCATCGATTTCCATGTGCCCTTCTGCAGCAGCACGAGCACAGGTTAATTCATTCCATGGACAGCCATGTTCTCTGGCCCATTTAACCATCTCCAGATTCCCATTCCGAGCAGCCCTTGTGCACACATCAGCATTCCAAGGGCACCCATTCTCTCTGGCCCATTTCAATATTTCCATGTGCCATTTTCCAGCAGCACTAGCACATGTTAAATCTTTCCAAGGACAGTCATTCACTCTGGCATATTTGAGTATCTCTAAGTGCCCACCTAGAGCAGCACTAGAACACACCCTTTCATTCCAAGGACATCCATTTTCATGGGCATATTTGAGGCAATCCAAATGGCCTCTAGTTGCTGCACAAACACATGTGTCTTGATCCCAACTGCATCCATTTTCGCGGGCAAATTTTATGATGTCCAAATGGCCACTCCATGCTGCAACAGCACATGTATCCTTATCCCATCTGCATCCATTTTCATGAGCCAACTTCAGTACTTCCAAATGACCATGGAGTGCAGCTTCATCACATACAGTTTGATCCCTTTCCAATGCAAATCCATTCTCTGTGGCCCACTCAAGAACACTCACGTGCCCTCCTCTAGCAGCACGATTACACATATTCCAATCATCCTTTGGACATCCATTTGCCTGGGCCCATTTCAGCACATTCAAGTGCCCTCCTCCTGCAGCAGCAGAGTATGTAGTTTCATTCCAAGGATACCCCTTCTCACGGGCCCATTGTAGAACTGGTAGAGACCCCACCTTGGCAATTGCAGTGCAGGCATCTTCATCTGGGGCGGGGGTCTTAGCCTTGGATTTGTTATTTTCCCAGTATTCAGCTCATGACACATTAAAAAAGGCTGCGCTGTAGAATGTGACCGTGCTGGTTGCTGGTTGCACTTTGTCATTCCAACCATCTGAAACCAACCGCACCTTTGGAGGATCTTCCACAGTGTCACAGTACTTTTCATAAAGCTCTTTGATTTTCTTGTTGACACCTGCAACAAAGACATATTGTCCCATGCCCAGAAAGGGAAGGATGTTGTTGATCCAAATATCTTCTTGGTCCAATATCGAAAGACTAGCGGCCAATTTGATTTTCTTTGCTGATCCATCATTGGTAGATGACATGATGGAAGGGAATTCAATGGAAGAGATAGAAAAGGCTCTGCACGTCAGGAACTTACTTGTGGGCAGCGGAGGAGTTGTGTGCTATTCTCACGGAACGCAGCGATAAACCAACCAAGAGTTTCGCAGCGTGTTCAACAACAGAGCGTGGTCCGTGGAAAAGTCATACTGGTGTTCAACTAAGGCTCAGGATATGATTCTGACATCAGTGGCCATCGAGCCTCCGCCATCCAACATTATCCATCACGAGCCATCAAACCTTTTGCCACTTGTCTTTGATCGGGGGTTCATCCAAAACTAGACTATTCGAAAAGGAAATTAGAGAAGATCCAGCAAAGGTTCTACACTAGTAACAGCACGCCCCATTCCGTTCTGAAAGAGAGGCTTGTCTACCCATACCCATTCCTTGGAGCCAGATCAATTAACCCATCGATCCAGAAGGTATCCACCACCATGTCCTCCCAACAGAACAACAGAATACCGTACATGCTTCACTATATTTGTGGATTTGTCTTATTGACATCCTCAGAATCCTTCACATTACAGCGTTGGAACTACATGTACTATGCACCCACCACTCCCCCTACTGTTCAGAATCGGCAATCCACAGCTCCTGGTTTATTCATGATTTATGCACCTCCCGGATCGGGATATCACCGTCCCGAAGACGAAGAATCCATGTTACCCTCCACGTATGATCCAATGATGGAATATCCGGGCACCATGCGTCCCGGCACTACTCCCGAAAACATGCCCTTTTCCGATTTGCCCATTGCCGATAGCGATCCCGATCCGGTTCCCTGGCCTCACTTTCAACAGATTGAATGGCATCACAAATGGGATCCTCCCCATGAAGCCGCTCTGGAAATGGAAGAATTCATTGAACAGCAAGGACGTTGGGCCACACCGGAAATGGAAGCCGCCATGCGAGCGGGTGTGCGACAGGGTATCCGCGATCGGCAAGAAAAGGAAGCGGCCGAGAAAAAACGGGATTCTTGGGTCATTACCGATGACGACGATGAGGACGATCCTCCCAACACGGACAATATCGAGTTGGGAGATGGTATGTATGGATCCATTGGATCGGCCGTGGTCGATGCCATGACGGCGGAAGCTGTGAGACCCAAGGCAGAAAGTGAGGAGGAGCAAGAAAGTACTGAAGTGGAAGAAGACACGGGTAGCAGCAGCATGGACGACGATTTGGATAGTTTCTTGTTGGATTTGGGATTGGATGCCGATGTGGAGATGGAGGATGATACGGACAGTAGTGGCAGCAAGAGCGTTGCGGCGGATGATGACGCCGAGGAAGAGGATGCTGGTACCACCTTGGATTTACTGAGTGATGACGGAGATGTCACGGCAACAATCAATGTCGATGCGGATGACGATTTGGATCTAGGATTGGACGACGATGATGATCTGGACGGGGATGATGGAGTGGAAGTACCCCTCGATGCCTTTGGAGACGACAATGATACCCTCAATGGTGAAGACATCTTTGATGAAGGAGGATTTGATTTTGACGATGGTGATTTCGATGCAGGCGATGTGTGGTAGGACCCTGTCTTACCGTACCGTGTCGATGTTGTAGAGAATACCGTATTCGACGAAATGATCCAACAAGGAAGGAACACAAAATGTGATCAGATCAATTTGAAGAAGTAGCAGTAGAGACTACGGAGAGAACCTTTCCGATTCGATTCAGTGGACAATAACTAAATCTACATTCTTGGGAAGTACCAGTACTGGTACCTTTCTGTCATGTTGACTGTTGGATGTCATCAGATTCTGCATAAAAGGATATTATCGACCCTGATACCAGGTACCGGTAGAGCAGGTGTTGCTGATTGGGGCATTCCACTGCCACTGACCTCGTAGAATCAAGGATGCAAAAATAATACGAGAGTTCTGGGATAGCCATCGGTAAATCAGTGATATATAAATGATAAATTTTGTTGGCTGCAAACCAATTTAAAGAAAAGAGATTATCGTTCTCTTACTAGTCTATTTGCCGACTACCGTGCTGATGGATTTCCCATGGGTAGCCAGTATTATTAAAACCTATCCTGGGCGTCGCAACTAAAAGAAACTAGTATCCGACCAATAATGATTGCAGATTGTCGTCTCTTTGTACAAAACGGACTGGAGGTATCAATTAGTGTCATCATCTCCTTAGTTAGGACTGCCCAGGATTTCGATTGGGCCGAGCGGTGGCATTGGCGGTCCCACTAATATCCAGACTTTCCAATGACAAATCACTCCATCCTTCTTCTCGTCGTCGTCGTTCGGCAGCCGTGACGGCCGAAGAGGAATTGCCAGCCGGAGAGACAATGGCATCGGCATCTAATTCTCCTTCTTCCAAGAGGGGAGCCACGGCGGCTTCGTGTCGTCCCACTTCGACTTCGTCATCGCTCAACTTGTCCGCGGCCCACTCATCGTCCACTACCTCCAATGCGGGTGGACGACCGGCCGTCGAAAAGGGACGTCGAAGACGGGTAGCGGCAGCGTAGTTGGAATCAGAGGCTTCAGGCATGGTTTAATTATATAACACAATCTATCTGATTGATGAAAGAGAGTGGGAATATCACAATGACAATAACGACAAACAAAGAGAATGGATGTCGCCAACTATGGAGTTGGCCTGTTGCGGATTTTGTTGTTTGGTGTGTTCCGTCTCCTTGAGACGGCGCACCTTTTGGTTACCCCCTCAGTTGCACTCTGAAATCGATTGGCTCGCGTTTACTGTGTAAATTAGTGTACTCGCACTTCAGTTGCAGAATCAACCGTCATGTGTATCGCGAAAGATTTAGATCGATTCGTGGATACAAGAACCGTTGAAGTTACTAAGGTTAAGGATAAACTGATTGCCTGGAGCTCGTACCGTTCAAGTCCATCATTGAAGGTGCAGCACTGACTTCTCTCCCTCATTGAATTGCTATGGCAAAGAGGAGAGAAATCCAAGCTTGGCCGACAAGAATGTTGTTGGAACGATTGAACGACTGGTACGGTACTGTACGATGTAAGCCTATTATCAAGAGTGTTAATTGAAGGTACAGCGCTGACTTCTCTCCCTCATTCAATTCCTATGGTAAACAGGAGAGAATTCCGAGCTCGGCCGTCAACAGGTGAGTTGGTTTTAATTATTCGAATCGATCGATCGCACCTCTATTATTATCCAAGCCGTCCCTACTCTGGTGCAGATTGATAAGCCATGCCCTCATTGATCCTTGGACCATGTGGATGGCAGTCAGTTCTCTGCCCATGACGGCCAAGTTTGTGCAATTTGAAAAACAATAGTAAGATCTCCGGTCGTCTGCAGTTGAGCACAGAAAACAAAAATCATATCTATTTGTTGTTTTCTCTGCTGCACTGCTTACGGCCGATGAACTACCATTGTCCCGCGGTCCAACGAACGTTTGATCGCTCCGAATAACACGAAGAAG